TATACAGGACCCAGGCCATTTAGGGCTTTAAAGATCAGGCCCAACACTTTGAATTGTGCTCGGAAACGTACTGGGAGCCAATGCAGATCTCTCAGGACCGGTGTTATGTGGTCCCGGTGGCGACTCCCAGTCACCAGTCTAGCTGCCACATTCTGGATTAATTGCAGTTTCCGGGTCACCTTTAAAGGTAGCCCCACGTAGAGCGCATTGCAGTAGTCCAAGCGGGAGATAACTAGAGCATGCACCATGTAAAGCTGTATACACCTCCCATCTAAAGACCGGGTGAAGAGGGAATATAAGATTAAGTCCACTGTTAATGTGAGCAACTGAGAATCATTAAATGGTAGAGATAGAAGGAATCCCAAAGGCCATCTAGTCCAACCCCCTCCAATGCAGGAATCACCCTGTGTGCAACACTGGTTATTCAGGGTATCTTTGACAATCTGCAGAGTCTTCCCAGAGGACAAGTGGAAGCCTGGCGTTCTTATTTTCTTTTTAAAATGTGTGGGTCTATTTTAAGAGTTACTTACAGCCCTATTCTAGAATGTGAAAATAATGAGAGTCTTGGAATACATACATATATTCCCTTTTTCGGATAGGGCGCACCAGAATAAGCAAGCTAAGAGAATTGCTCAGTTTGGAGAGGGGCCAGGGTAAATTCCAAATTCGGGCAATCATAATATTCTTTTACTGACATTTCAATAGGGTGAAGTGAGTGCCGATAATTAGGCCACAGCGATCTTGTTCGCTGCCCAAACCCTTGGCCTTGTAATACATGTCACATTGGTTATGGGAGTAGTGTTTATGCTAGGAGCATGATTAGGAAAGTCCCTGGTAGAAAACTTGAGTCAGTTGCATTGGAGGAAGATTGTCATTGCAGAAATACAGCTCCAGGGGCCCTGGTTGCCGTGTTGGGTTTGCGAATCCTGGAGGTCTCCTTCCGCTGTTGTTGGACTGCAACTCCCATCATCCTTGACCACTGGCCCTGCTAGCTAGGGATGATGGGAGTTGTAATAATAATAATAATAATAATGGTTTATTATTTATACCCTGCCCATCTGGCTGAGTTTCCCCAGCCACTCTGGGCAGCTCCCAATCGGGTGTTAAAAACAACAGCTGGAGACCCAAGTTTGAGTATCGCTGCAACTTACCGTATTTTTTGCTCTATAAGACTCACTTTTTCCCTCCTAAAAAGTAAGGGGAAATGTGTGTGCGTCTTATGGAGCGAATGCAGGCTGCACAGCTATCCCAGAAGCCAGAACAGCAAGAGGGATTGCTGCTTTCTCTGCACAGTGATCCCTCTTGCTGTTCTGGCTTCTGAGATTCAGAATATATTTTTTCTTGCTTTCCTCCTCCAAAAACTAGGTGTGTCTTGTGGTCTGGTGCGTCTTATAGAGCGAAAAATATGGTAGCTCCTTCAACAAACCTTTGCTGTCACCCTTGTCTCACCCCTTTCCCTTGCCTTGCTCACTCTGGAAATTGAGACTGTAGGCTCCTTGGGGCAGCAATCTCTTTTCCTTTTCTTTCTCTCTTTTTTGCTAATGCTAATTTGAAAACATGCCATGTTTATATTAGGCTGTAGTCCGAAGCGCATTTCCTAGGGAGAAAGCCCCAAGGGAAAAAAAATGTCTAAATTTGTGTTTGTGCTTTTCATGTCTTAGGGATGGGGAACATGTTGCCCTCATAATGTTGTGAGAATCCAGCTCCCACCAGCCCCAGCCAATATGGGCAATGCTCAGGTATGATAGGAGCTGGAGTTCAGCAACAAACAGAGGGCTGCAGTTTACCCACTCTTGATATAAACAATGAACGTTTTTCTTGAGGTTTTGCCATTCTCCCATGAAGATCCCATTACGTACAGGCTTTCTCGCTAGCTGCCCCCCCCCCCCAACTAAGCAAGGGAGCTCTTTAGTGGGAAGGGAAAATAAAGCTTTGGCAGGAGTTCAACAGATGCCAGCTCTTTCCCTGACACCGAGTTCATCATTACATAAGGCAGAAGACACTCTTTGCCATCTTTGACCATGTGCTTAAAATAGCCACAAAGAGCCAATTGATCTTCTACGGTTCCTTACACTGCCTGGATAGCCTGATGACGACGTTCAACTACTATATGGAAGAAAATGTGCCAAAAGTAATGTTGGGAATGGCTGCTATAGCATCTGTTTTGCTCTTGGCACAGACTTTGACCAGACAACTTTTGCCTCAGTTTCCTGATCGAGAATTAAAGGCTTCTTCTGTGGCCCCTCCTAGCAACATCTCATGTTCTTTCCGCAGCATCACAAATCACTTGAGGAATTCTGTTATCTGTTAAGTTTCCCTGCTGACCTTGTCAGGCTAGAATCATATTAGCAGCCCTGTGTGAGTATCTGCAATTTGCAACTTCCAGTGGGAATGCTTTGAGAAAGCAGAACAATGTATTCATTCCCAGTGTTGTGTCCCAAAAACGTGATAGGTTGGATACACACACACACACACACACACGTTATTTGATTGGGAAGGGAGAGGAGAACAGCCACTGAGTGTTCTTTCCCCCTTTATTAATATGTGCACGTTTGTTAGTTTAGTGATATTTGTATACAGTTGTACCTTGGAAGTCAAACAGCTTAGTTCCTTAACGTTTTGGCTTCCAAACGTCGCAAACCCAGAAGTGACTGTTCTGGTTTGCAAACTATTTTTGGAAGCCAAATGTCTGACGGGGCTTCGACAGCTTCTGATTGGCTGCAGGAGCTTCCTGCAGCCAATCAGAAGCTCCTGCAGCCAATCAGAAGCTGTGGAAGCCCCATCACGTTTTGGAAGTGAGACTGACTTCCAGAACGGATTCCGTTCGACTTCCAAGGTACGGCTGTATTGCTTTTCAGGCAGACCTCAAAAAGTGGTTTACATAAGATGATTATTGTTTTATTTATTATCCACTCTTCAGCCTAAGGTCTCAGGGAGGGCTGAAACATTAAAACACAACATTAAAACCCAATGTTAAAAAGAACAGCTTAAACAACTTGCAATGACAGAAATAAGGTGTGTCCTAAAAATATACGCAGCAAGCTTTATAACAACGATGCCAGGCACACCTCTGTGGGGAGGGAGTTCCACAATTGGGGGCCACCACAGATAAGGCCCTGCCCCAGAACAGTACTTGCTTTTTCCTGTCTGCAAATGTGAAACATACAAAAATGGTGTATGTGCACACATCATTTTCTCTTGGGGAGGAGGAATTCCAGGTTGTATTTTGTTTTGTGACATAACTGATGCCCTCCATCCCATTTTGCTTTTCAATCTGTCTCATAATTCTCAATTTAGCCTCCTTAAATTATATTCCAGCTATGCAAGGAAATGTGGGGGCCTCTGTGTGAGAGAGACTGTCCAGTTTGCAGCTGTGGATTGCAATGCCTCCACCCATCTCCGTGTAACGGCACCCCTGTTGCGAGACTTGTACACTTTTTAAAAAAGTTGGAGATTGTTAACTTTTCCTAAAAACAAAACAAAACCCAACAACCAGGAAGTTCTTGTGTCAAAGCTCGAAGGAGAAAACAGGCAGAGCGCTTGATGACAAAAAGTACTTGGAACTTGTTGCTGTACAGAAAGGTGGACGTCATCTGCAATCTTCTTCTTTTTAAATGCTGCCTGGGGGATAAAGTCACATCTAAGTTTTAATGGCAACCTCTTTAACATAAAGTGGGGGTGGAGAGCCATAGAGGCTGCTTACGGATGAATTATTTGCAATTAATATGCATGCAATGAGTGGAGATGGGTTGGTTTGTGCGTCTCTCTAAAGCCAGAGGAATTTCAGTGTTTCCATTTACGGAATGTTAAAATTCCATACTGTTTCCATAACGTAGGTTTCCGAAGAAATCTTCATGTATATAGGCTTCCTAAAAATATATACCATCATTCAGAGTTATGTGTGCATCATTTATGCAAACATCCATACACTTCCCTTATCATTTGCGCTGTGTGTTTGTGGCTTGCAGTGAACCATTTTCTGAAAGATTACCCACAACAGGAGTAGTAATATTTGCATCCTTTGTCTACTGAATTTGGCTCCCCCACTTGTCTTGCTTCCTCCTTCCTTTTGCACCCTTGAATAATTTTCTGCTTCTCCCTTCTTGTTCTTCTTCCCTGGCCAGCTTGAGGCACATGTATTATCTATGTTTGGGGGGGCGGGTTTGTCATCAACATTATTATGCATGTGTACAGTTCGAAAAACTGTAGCGGAGGAGGAAGCGTCTCCAATCCTCCAAGCAGCAGAGTCGCACCTCCTGATCATTCCACTGGCATTCTCAACCGATCTTGTCTTCTAGGACAGTTGGGAGTCTGCTGTGTCCATCGAGCCATGAGCAGAGTCTCCAAAGCATAAATATGGAGTAGGATCTCAGCAATAGACCTTAACCCAAGGCTTACTTCTTGAAGGCACCAGTGATATCTAAGCTGGAAGTAGAGGAGCGGGATTAAGATCAAGCCATGATTGTCAGTACTATGGCCCTAGAACAGGGTTCCCCAAACTTGGGTCTCCAGCTGGTTTTGGACCACAGTTCCCATCTTCCCTGACCACTGGTCCTGCTAGCTAGGGATGATGGGAGTTGTAGTCCAGCAACAGCTGGAGACCCAAGTATGGGAAACCCTGCAATAGAGGCTTGTTGTGAAATGTTTTGTGCTGGCTCTGTGTGGTGTCTTCTTGTCCTTTCTCCATATTATTCCCATGCTTTTCTCCAGTAACATAATGGTTGGTGTCTTAGATACACATTGACGTAGATAACTGGCTACAAGTAAGAGTAACAACAAGTCTACTTGTCTGCAGTTAAAATGTTTCTAGGGTTACAAATGATGTTTGGCAAGCCAGGCTATTCCTAGGAATGGGGCACTGTGTGTCCATCCCATTTTCCTTTCCTACAATTGTGTTTTCCTCCCCTCTCTTCTATGCAAGTTTTGTACAGCCAAAAAAGACCAGCACAAGAAAACAAAACACAGCACTGTTTTTCAGTTTTTATTTATTATTAATTTTTGGCAAGTCCTCGGGAGCAAAAGGAGTACAGTACGGTGGCTGTACTGAATTGCAATTGTAGATAAGAGATTATGTGGGTAGGAGTACTGGGGAAATGAGCAAAAATGGGAGGAATCTGAACATCAGCATCATTGTTTAAGCACGTACAACTCTGAGTGCCGAGTAATCCATTTTGATTATTTATAAGCCACTCTGTCAATGGATTGTCTAACAATTGACACAGCGCAATAAGATAGCATTGTAATCTCAGAGGTCAGGTGATATCGCTTTGCAAGTGGCCAGGCAGAATGTCCAATGACGGTATCTATCCTGAGAGGAAGGGAGGGACGCAAGAAGGAATTGGTCCCAGCAAGTTTGAGGGAAAGGGCCTAGTTACAATTGTTTCTGATGTTTAGGGTTCAAATGATAGGAATTGTGGAAAGAGGAGCTGAAGTGAGTCCAGAGAAGACTAGGATGGGGCATCAGAAGAAAATAGAACAGATGCAGAGTGGCAACAGTGAGGCCATTTCCAGTGTGGTGCCATGATGGAGCAGAGGTTCAGAATGAAAGATGGCAGACTATGGGGCTGTCGGAGACAGTGGGACTCGGAATACCAGCTGCTGGGAATCACGAATGGAGAAAGCACTGTTGCTTGTAGGCTTCCTAGAGGTATTTGGTTGGCTACCAGAAGGGCAGGGTGCTGGATGAGGTGGACCTTTGGCCTGATCCAGCAAGGCTCTAATTATGTTCTTATGAGGAACTGCTCATCACTATAAAGGGTTCTGACATGGGGTGGGTAGCCAAAGGCTTGAGGCCAAGGGTCTCCTCAGATACGGTATGATATGATACGATAATCTTTATTGTCATTGTCCCATACAGAACAACGAAACTGAAAAAAATCTACATCAGACATTCAAAAACCAACAAGCCTGCTATCCCTGCTATCCCAGTCTGTTTAACCCCCTAAAAACTCTGATACCCCATAATTAAATACAATATGCTCCCATAGAGACTACCTTACACTGAGTTTAGGACGAAAATTGCATTTGGATAGAAACTGTTTCTCAGGCAGCTAGTCCTAGTCTTTATAACCCTGTACCTTCTTCCAGAAGGCAGAAGCTGAAAGAGATCATTTCCTGGGTGCGCACTATCCTGCACTATCTCTGCAGCTTTCTTATGGCACCTGGACGCATAGATTTGATCCAAGGTGGGAAGAGTGCACCCAATTATTCTCTCTGCAGTCTTTACAACTCTGGACAGCATTGTTTTTCCCCTGACCGTGCAGCTCCCAAACCACACACACAGACCACAAGTTAATACACTCTCAACAGTATAATGGTAAAATGCCATCAACAGGTCCTTTGAGTGATTATTTTTCGGGAGGGTTCTCAGAAAATAAAACCTATGCAGAATGGAGAGCTATGTTGGACTCCCTTCTGCACCCTGCACGTGCAGAAAACAGAGGTGTAGCCATTGCATTTTTTCATATGCAAAGCTGTGTTATTCTGTAGATCTAGTTTTACATCTGAACTTAAATGTTTGTGAGCAAGAGAGAGAAGACGGTATTCATCATCAAAATAAGAAACTGCTGTAGCTTTTGCGAATCGCCCTGCGTTGGAATTTGGGCTTATCTGCACTTTTCAGAAGAGTTGGTTCAACATCTGTCTTGGTGCTTTCCTTTCTGACATTTGGCAGATTGGGCAGGCAGCTCCGTCAGTAGAGCATGAGACTCCTAATCTCAAGGTTGTGGGTTCAAGCCCCACATTGGGCAAAAGATTCCTGTGTTGCATGAGGTTGGACCAAATGACCCATGTGGTCCCTTCCAGCTCTACAAATCTACGGTTCTTCTCCCAGTCTTCTCTTTATTTCTCCTTTTACCTGCTTTTATGTCAGTGTCTTTCCACAGCTCTACATGCATGGTTTTGATTGCCATAAACTGAAGGGTGGGACGAGGGATTTGCTTGGTCTGCTGTTTGCTAAAGACCAACTCAATGCTTCTGAGCGTGATTTTGGATCAAGAATGCAACTACCAAATGGAATTCATGCTTCTCCAGATTTTACAATAGATTTTCAGTGCACAAAAGCATGTGGTTTGCATAAACGATGTGTACAAAAGGCACATTTGACTGGTGATGGCATTGAAAAGTGTGTATTAAATGCATGGCCTTGAGTCTGCATTTCCAGCATCATAAAAACCTAACAAATTAGAAACCTGCGCTGATCTGGAGAACTGATTCTCTCAGTCTTCCAATAATTGATTCTTCTTGTTCGCAGCCTCGGTTGGAAAACCACCCAGCATGTATTTGCAAATCTACCAGTGAAATAGTGTAAGAACACATAATTAAATTTGCTACACGAATAGATATAGCTGCTTTGTGCAAAATTACTTCTTCAATCCATGTATGCACAAACATGGAGAAGCTTACTGGGATATAAGAAGTTCTTTCTTGTCCATCTATGGTGGTAGAAAGGTCTGCCTTCTGATCATGTCTCTTTGCAGATGTTTCAGGAAGATAGCATGGCTTTAATAATAAAAAAAGGTTCCAGAAATGGTTGGCTGAACTTAAGGCATGGAAAATTAGTTTTGTCAAGATGAGGATGAGTGTCATTGGACTTGCCTGTTTTTGCAAAGGGAAAACCATACTAAGTGAAATTTATGTGTAGGAGAGCACAGTATGGATGGTGCCAGACATATTTGACAGCCCTCATAACTCCCCTAAATCTCTGTTTCAAGGGTGGGGGCTTGGACAGGCACAGCAGCCAGTATCAAGGATATTTGTGGTATGTAATCCATGGGTGCAGTCAAATGCAACATTCTTTACCTAGAATAGGCACAAGCAGGGGGACACCCAGTCAGTGTAACTTCCTGTTCCACTGGAAGTCTGGCGCTTTCTCCCCCTGCATGTGATCTGGGAGGTGGACATGGCCCCGCCTGACTCCTTAAAGGAGCCGAGCCATGCAGCCATTTTCTCAGTCTTGATCAGTCTGTCTTTCACTTGCTTGTTGTTCTATCTTTTGCTACCATGCTGCTCTCCTGCAGCTATTTTGTTGTCTTGATGTAATTTTGCTGTCTGCTGGCTCTCAGCCAGCAGCACATGAGTTCAGCCTCCCTGTGAGGTGAATTCACACAGTTTCTTTGTGCAACTGCTAAGCAAAGCCTTTCAGAGATCAAACCGTGAACTGAAATGTGAGTAAACATTTTGTTACTTTACTCAGAAAGACTCTCGTGTCTTTATTCTTTTAAGAGGGATCAAAAGGGGACACCAGGAAATAATCTGAACGAAGAGATTCAAACGAATCTGCAAACTAGCTTCCAGCTATATTGAGGGGATTTTGCTCTGCTACATCACTTACTAGCGTGAGTGAAAGAAGGATAACACTTATTCAATATATCCTTTCCTACAATCCTTAACATTCCCATAATATTCCCCCTCTGATACATCCCCGCCCCCAAACCCTTCCTGTGGAGATCCCCCCTGAATTAAGGCTGGAATTCTGGTGCTGGAGCATAGTCTGGGATGACTTTTGAGGTGGTATCCCACCCCAGCTATGCTGGAATACCCTCCAACTGTCCTGTTTTGCACACAAAATCCAGGGTTGAGAGAAGCCACCCCAGCTCTGATCCCATTTCCAGATGTCCCATGTAGGCTTCTGTGCTCCGGCCATCTCAGAGCACAAGACCAAAAGATAGGTGCGTGGGTTTTTTTTTAGATAGATAGATAGATAGATGATAGATAGATAGATAGATAGATAGATAGATAGATGATACAGTGGTGCCCTGCAAGACGAATGCCTCGCAAGACGGAAAAACCGCTAGACGAAAGGGTTTTCCGTTTTGAAGTTGCTTCGCAGGACGAATTCCCCTATGGGCTTGCTTCGCAAGACGAAAATATCTTGCGAGTCTAGAGATTTTTTTTTCGCTTTCCCCCCCCTTTATCTAATCTGCTAAGCCTTTAATAGCCTTTAATAGCCTTTTAGCAGCTAATCCTCTAAGCCTTTAAGCCTTTAATAGCCGCTAAACCGCTAATAGCGCTAATAGCGCTAATCCGTCAATGGGCTTGCTTCGCAAGACGAAAAAACCGCTAGACGAAGACTCTCGCGGAACGGATTAATTTCGTCTTGCGAGGCACCACTGTAGATAGATATTAGTTTTCAACACATCATTTTCAACAATAGTTAAACATATTTTCATATCTTATACCATTTTTTTTTACTTCCATCAATCACATCTGAAAATTTTCCAATCTATTCACTTAATATACATTTCTTACTTTCACTATTACATTTAAATCTCATAACCAATGTCCTATTCTTTCTCTACTGTGCAGTATTTCATATATTTCTCCTTACAAAACTTCTTGTAGTCCTACTAGTGTGATTTGTTGATTACAATTGCTTTTCAAATAGTTCGTATATTTCTTCCAATCTTCTGTGAATCTCTGGTCCCGCAGGTTTCAAATCCTTCCTGTCATTTTATCTAATTCTGCGTGGTCCATTAATTTTATCTGCCATTCTTCTTTCGTCGGGATTTCTTCTTGCTTCCATTTCTGGGCTAACAATACTCTTGCCACTGTTGTTGCATATAAAAAGACAGGTGCGTTTTCATCCTGCTCTGTAGCGGGGGTCAGTTGGCTCACATGAGAGCATGGGACCCAAAAACGAAACCAAAAGATGCACCAACTTACCTTGACCCTGCGCATCACTGCTCTTTGTCTTTCTCCTTCTGTCGTGGCACTTCTGAAAGCAGTGCCGGCAGAGGAGGAGGTGGAGGCCATAGTGCCAGAGCACTGTCTCCTGGTGCCGCACAAGCCAGGGTGGCTTCCCCAAGGCTGTGGAGAAGAAGAGAAGAAGAAGAGTTTGGATTTGATATCCTGCTTTATCACTACCTGAAGGAGTCTCAAAGCAGCTCACAATCTCCTTTCCTTTCCTCCCCCACAGTAAACACTCTGTGAGGTGAGTGGGGCTGAGAGACTTCAGAGAAATGTGACTAGCCCAAGGTCACCCAGCAGCTGCATGTGGAGGAGTGGGGAAGCGAACCTGGTTCACCAGATTACGAGTCCACTGCTCTTAACCACTACACCACACTGGAGGAGGGGGAGGTTGCGGAGAAGACTGTACATGGAAGGAGGTGCAAGCAGGTGTCAGCAGCGAGGGAGGGCCAGAAAGGGGGAGAGTGATGGGGTTGGAAGCATGGGGGGTTGCCCCCATTTTGCCCTGATTCAGGAAGCAGCTGAACAGGGGGAAGGATCCAGAGCACTATGTCTCCAGCAGCCCCCAAACACACCTGTGCAGGTAGCAGCAAGCCCTCTTTCTTGGTAAACAGTAAGCCTGAGTGATGACAGGACTCTTGACTGTCCATCTTTAGCCATTCCCACAGTTTCATAGTAGAGATATTTGCATGCCGTGAGGTCCATCCGGCATCCACTAAACTCACCCACTTTCCTTCAGGTGCGATAATAGTAAATAATAATAAATTATATTTATACCCCGCCCTCCCCAGCCAAGACCGGGCTCAGGGCGGCTAACAACCAATAATAGAAACAAGTTGATTAAAATACAACTTAAAAACAAGATTAAAATACAACATTAAAACATTAAAATGCAGCCTCTTGACAGGAGGAGAAAGGAAAAAAGAAAGAGAGGGAGGGAATCAAATTGATTCTTAGCCAAAGGCCAGGTGAACAACTCTGTCTTACAGGCCCTGCAGAAAGAAATCAGATCCTGCAGGGCCCTGGTCTCAAGAGACAGAGCATTCCACCAGACTGGAGCCAGTGTTGAAAAGGCCCTGGCTCTGGTTGAGGCTAATCTAACTTCCTTAGGGCCCGGGACCTCTAGGGTGTTGCTATTTATGGACCTTAAGGTCCTCTGTGGGGCATACCGGGAGAGGCGGTCCCATAGGAGGGTCCTAGGCCATGATAAAGGATGCTATCCTGCTGCCAGGGCTGAAGTGAATTCCAACAGCCAATCCAGCCCACCTCTGTCTCTGCAATGAGTGTTGGTGGTGGAGGAGGCAGTTGGTCTACATGAAACAGCAGTGTGCCAGTATTGCACATGTTTAAATTGCAAGCCAGTATTCCGAGCTCCAAACCGTCTTGAGTGCATTGGCACAATAAATGTTGACCCAACAAGGGTAATAAACAAGCTATTTTCTCCTGCCCACATTGTGTCTAAACCCCTACCACCACAGCTTTTTCTGATCTCGAGTAAAATTTATTTCTGGAAACGTCAGGGGTGGTTTTCTTCTCGGACATGGTAACAATTATTGTTTCGTGGTAACAATACCAGTGCCCGTTCCAATAAAGTCCCCATGATCTACTTATGAAGTTCAGTTATGTCCAGAGCCTGTTGATTTATGAGTTGTGGTTGTACCTCAAAGAATGTCGAGGTCATCTTTTTTAATATATATTTTTATTTTTTAAGAATTAAGTTGGGCAAACGTTAAGAAGCTAGCTTTTCCAACTAATGGAGCTGCAGATTTATTGCTCTGGAAGACTTTTGTGTCGAGCAATTAGCTGTCCAATATTTGCATGCTTTCAGGCTGCACGCAAAGACGTCTGTTTGTTCCTTTTGTTTGTCAAAGTGACGCCGCAGCCAAACTGAAGACCTGTGTAATCTGCAAGGCTGGGAGGAGGCGAAGGGAAATGATCTTTCTGTTTAGTGTTTGTCTTGGAGACGTTGCCATGCAAAATCACGTTTTCTTAAAAGAGAGAGGGGAAGAGGCAAAACCCCCCCCAAAACCCCCAGCATTGATCTGGGCCAGGTGTCAAAACAGCACTTACTAGCCCCTTCCAGGGATCTGGAGGATGACAATTCTATGTAATGAACCCATCTTAATAGTGACATTACTCAAGACTCAAAAAAACATGAAGTATAATTTTTTTTGTAGCCTTTCCCTCCTCCCCTCGTGGCAAAGAGGCCCCATACTTGAGGCTGCCAAGTGTTGATGATAATTTTTATGGATCGTTTGTATGATTTTGGAGCTTTGTCCATAGCCAAACAGAAAATGTTTTATGGGCAGTTTGTCCTCCATTCTTCTTCTTCTTCTTCTTCTTCTTCTTCTTCTTCTTCTCCTTCTCCTTCTCCTCCTCCTCCTCCTCCTCCTCCTCCTCCTCCACTCTGGGCACATTCAAACCACAAATGTAAAACCTTTGGGGATGCAGTCCTGCAAAGGTCATAGGGCTCGACTTAACACGATTAAGAGCTAGTTTTGCATACAACAATAATAATATTATAATACAGTGGTACCTCGGGTTAAGCACTTAATTCGTTCTTAACCTGAAACTGTTCTTAACCTGAAGCACCACTTTAACTAATTGGGCCTGCCGCTGCGCCACCGCTGCACAATTTCTGTTCTCTTCCTGAAGCAAAGTTCTTAACCTGAAGCACTATTTCTGGGTTAGTGGAGTCTGTAACCTGAAGCGTATGTAACCTGAGGTACCACTGTAATACCCTTATTGTCAATGTACAAT